GAAATTCCAATCACCTGAAGAAGGCCAGAGCATACAACACCCAAAATGTTGTGAATATAGTAGCAAAGATGAAGACAAAAGTCCAAACAATGTAAATAGTGTGAATAGTCTTATTTCTCTTTTGAGATTATATCTTTCTTAGAACCCATGGCAATCAGTATGTCTATCAGAAATTAAAAAAAAGAATGACAATAACCTTACTATTATATTTATTTACAATATGATGAACACTTGGTTTGTCTAATAAAATCTTTCTCCATGACATAAGTTATTGTAAATATTTCTAATAAAAACAGATATTATAAGCTGAAATTTAGTTGGTATATCCATCATCATAAATATAGATATATCCTGAAAATTTTATTAATGTCAGTTGGCTAATAATAATTTTATTGTGAAAATATTGACTTATGCGATAAAAGTTTATTTAGAAGGTATCCAGCCATTTTGAATATTTCATTCTTTAACAGCATTAAAGTTACTGGGCAACCAAATATAGCGAACCTAGTTGCACATGCCCAAACACCCTCCCTTAGAGTTACTCAGTCAGAGATGCTATTAAGATGTTATTTACACAACTGCTCTATTCACTGTGAATGTGCATCATGTAATTTGTTTGAATGTTAAACATTCAATTGTAGAAATTAGTTTAATGATTAAAAAGGCTTTTGCAGATAATTCAAAGATTGAAGACCAAATAAAACTTTTTTATTGATGCTCCCAATTTGGCTAGGAATCTGTTGAAAGCAATCCACATTATTGTTATGATGTTGATTTGGGGTTAGTAGAGACAAACGCCAAATAACACGTAACAATAAAAAGGGTTTTAATAGGTTGATAAGAAGGTACATAAATCGCCTGAGTAGTCAGTAACTAGCTCAGCTAAAACTTCTCTGTCTATCTCTCTTCTCATGTCACTATTTAAAGTCTCTGTTCACAGACGCAGACAAGTTCATCTTCAAGAGGGGTGGTAGGTTTCCGACACAACAATTATGAAAAGCCTTCAACAAGCAACACATCTGAAAATGTTTAATATATATCATCTGAAATCAAAGAAAATATCAAGCCATTTTTTTTTTTTAAATTTCTTGTCTCCCCATTCTTTATTCTTGTGCAGTTATTATCAATAACTGGGTCTTGTTAGTGTTTTAAGCATGATGATATTTTCAAATAATTTAAATCCCAGCTTTCAAAAGAAAAAATTTAAATGCCAGGATATAGCTAACAAAATCTTGTCAACCAAACTGACAACACTCAGTTATTAATAATGACAAAGACATTCAAATGTAATGAACAACTGAACTTCAGTGCATTCACAATTTTGAATTCAATGTACAACATATTAAAAAATTAGAAAAATACAATAAAAAATTATACAGACCAACCTTCTTAGTTGAATTTAACAAAACCTGTTTAGATGAATTCTTGCTGCACATATATATATATATATATATACACACACACACACACACATTATGAAATGGACAAAGTCCGACAATTCTTTTAAGACATTTTATGTTTATACATTCTTTTTATACATACAAATATTTAAGTAAATGGTCTGTTTATAATAAACAGTATTAAACAACATTTACCAGCTTGAATGTCAGAGAGATTTTCATAGAAAATATTCGTCCTCCAACAGGATTCAAACCTGTATCCTACAGGGAACCATTATATAGCCTGACATGCTTTTAACCGATTCGGCCACAGAGGATCATTCGGTTAGCAAGGTCGAATTTATGCTTTTAAATTTCAATCATCCATGAATCTCTCACGTACACTCATATCTGCTCATGGTGTATCAAATGTAAATAAATGACATCACACATTATGAAATGGACAAACTCCAACAATTATTTTAAGACATTTTATGTTTATACATTCTTTTTATAGATACAAATATTTAAGTAAATGCTCTGTTTATAATAAACAGTATTAAACAACATTTACTGGCCTGAATGTCCGAGAAGGATGATTGAAGTTTAAAAGCAGTAAATTTGACCTTGCTAACTGAACGATCCTCTGTGGCCAAATCGGTTAAAAGGCACGTCAGGCTATATGACGGTTCAATATAGGATACATGTTCGAATCCTGTCGGAGGACGAATATTTTCTATGGAAATTTCTCGGACATTCAGGCCAGTAAATGTTGTTTAATACTGTTTATTATAAATGGAGCATTTACTTAAATATTTGTATCGATAAAAAGAATATATAAACATAAAATGTCTTAAAAGAATATATATATATATATATATATATATATATATACACGCACACACACACATATATATAAAAGATTAAAAAAAGTACTAATAACTTTTGCACACACCTAATACATACATAGGTATATAGTAACAGTTCTTTGGTATATTATTTACTGAATATATGGCTGTTCCTGTCCGTGTTTATGCAACATCAAACTATGTTTTACATTATACCTTATAAAAACATCATATAAATGATTTCTTATGTTCTTGCAGATTTCTTGTAGAGAATATCACTGCAACCATGCCAACTAATTCTTCTATAGTCTAAGTTTAAGTAAATTTTCACATGGCTTTATTGTTAGCCTAACACCCAAGTATGGGCTGTGTTACAGGGCAACTGCTCCTACTATTTACCTATATCTCAAGGGAGAAGTGTATTCATGTCTTTATCAAGGGTATTAGTGTGAAATGAATACAGCTGGAGTCTGAACTCAGTTTAAAAATTCCATTTTTTTGTACTTTTTTATGCTGTTAGTTCATACAATAAAAGGGCCAAAGATTTACTGAGTGAGAGTGTTGTAAGGGAAGTAGGGAGTAAGAAATGTACATTATGAGGACATGTAGAATAGATATTGCTTACCCCCTGGTTTTAAAGAGAACATGATTGTAGTTGTCAGGGAAGTATCCTCTCAGGAGTTCCACAAAGTAACAGTTTTAGGGAAGAAACTGTATGAGTGGAACTTACTCCTTATCCAAGGAATACAAAAAGAAAGGGGATGGTTTGCCACCATGGATATGCTATGATGTGTTCTAGCTATGAAAGCTTGAGCTGGTGGAACTAAGGAATGTAACTTGTCCAAACATTTGCCATAGTAACTATGATAGAGTAGTGAGAAGCTATCAACATTTTATCTGTGGGATAAAGGTGGAGAATAATTCATTATCCACAAGGCCACAATTACTTTTGAACACTATTGATTCTGGACAGTGAAGATTGGGTAGCACCAGCCCAGATATGTTAGCTTATACTCCATTCTTGGTCTGACCGGACTCTTTTTGTGGTATTTTCTGGAGCAATTCAAGGAATTGTCCATTCTTCCAACATTGTCATTTTTTGTACTTCCAGCAAATATGTGTGTCATTTGAGATTGGGAGTGAGCTTTGAAGCCACCTGCATCTTCCCTATTCACAAATAATTATTGAATTTCTTTGTCATCTATTATTTTTTTTGATATTTTATTTTTTGAGGTGGGGGGAATTACATGAAGATTTATAGATCGACTCTACTTGTTAGTATATGATCTTGCTGTTCAGTACAATGTGTATTTGAGAAAGTGTGTCTTTTCTACAAGAAGAGAAAGTCAGAGAGAAACGGCAACATTGAGAAAGATACAAGAATTTATTGGAAGTTTTTATGGAATCAAATTATAAACATACCATCACTTGTATTGAGAAATTTATTAACTATTTAACTGAAAACAGAACGGATTAAAAAGTGAATGAAAAAAAAAGATGAAATAATCAACAAAATGAAGAAGTTTATTTCCAGCTCGATGTCATTTGGAAAATCACTTTCCTAAACATTGTTTGATCATCAATGATTAAAATCACACATGGACAAAAAAAAAAGGTTGAAATTAAGACTGACATTGCATTTTTATTGGGAATGGTTCTGTTCAGCAAATAGTATCCACTGTACACTGGAAATTCAAAGAAATGTGAAGAAGAGAGAGAAAGAAAAAAAGCTGTACATTTTGCACTTTATGGTCTGCATATCTTGATGAGTTAATGTGATTTTAAAAGTTGTTGCTCTTATTATTTGCTTCTTTCATTTATTTATCTTCTTTTTAGGATTTGATTGCATTTGATAATTATCATGCAAGTATTGTTTGTTAGTGTCATTTATTATTGATAAAAATGTTGTAACGAACATGACTTTATTGCAAACTCAGCTCTCATCCAAATACGAGAGTTTTGTTCATAGTTTTGAGGGTCAGCAAATCTCAGATATTTACCAGGGGAAATAGGAATAGGACCAGAAAATGGTTTAGGGACTTTTTACATCAGAAAGCATGAATGTCTTTCATATTGTGTAATTCTTTTTTAATTTTTCTTTTTTCAACATAGTAAATATGTAGAAGAGTTAGTGTGAGACAAAAACAGGGAAGTTATTCTGTAATATAATTTAAAAGTGGACAGTAAATAAAAAGTATCAGCTAACAGTGGGCAGGAGTAATTGAGCAGATTCAGATTATATATATATATATATATATATATATATATATATGGTTTTCATTTAGAAAATTATTATTAGAAAATATAAAAGGTTTTTTATACCAGGAAATTAGGATAAAATATGTAGAAATGCCTTAGCAATTTTATGTCAGTAAATTTTCATACTTACTGATATGTAAACAAAAATGTTTTTTTTTTATGAAGGATAAACTTTCCCTGATCAATACCAGAGATATGCCAGTCAAAAAAATTACAAACAAAAATATTCACTGTTGGATGAGTTGGGTTGTTTGAATAAAACCTTTCTCTACATAATACCATTGATTCTGTTGTTATAAATTATTATGGATAAAAGTTTTTTTTCTTTTCATAGATGTACTTGCATGTGGAACTGGTGGCAGTGGTCTGGGGTTAGAAGTTTCAGTGTTCCTCGATGATAAAGAGGCTGTGGAACAATCAAAGTCTCTTGTGGTAGGACCTGTCCGTTCGTTGTGTTCTGTTGATTGCTCATTGAAAGGCTTGCAGGAGTGTTTCACTGCAGCAAATGTCCTACCCTTGGGATAGCTGAATATTTCTTGAAGTGGTTTTGTTTTTGCGTGCTTTACGTGGTCAGTCTGACATGAAGGGGGCTTGTAGTTTTCAGAGAACCTCAGATCTGAAAGATAAGAGTAAAAAATTTAATGAAATGTGCTCAGATTTTTTACAGTTCTTGTATGATTTCTTTCTCCCACTGTAGTTTGTGAGAATTTTTATTGTGAAATCTGAAATATTTGAGACTTAGCAAATGAAAAGCAGATAGAAAGTGAATTTTGATCAAAGAAAATTTAAAAAATACTGGTTTCTGGATTATCAAGGTATATTTTTATTCCAATGTTAAAACATGGTCTAACATTAACTCTTTAACAATCAAACATGCCTTGTAAATATCAGTTCTCAAAGTCTCACTGTTTGTGGTCAAAGTCTTACTGTTTATGTGACTTCCTGTATTGTTTGCAATGATGTCATATATATTATGGCAGTGTATACATACGGCAGGTTTCAGTGGGTTGAACATTGAGAGCTGATATTTACAGGGCAGGTCTGTGCAGGTTTAATCCTAAAGGTTTAAACACTGATTAAATGTTTAAAAAAAAAAAAACCTGAAACATTGATCAATGTTTGAATGTTATCATAATGCAACTTTTTTGTTTCCTTATTAATTACCTAAGTTTTTAGATGCCATGAAAAGTAATGCCAACACATACGCAAAAACATCAGTGAAAATTTTGTTTTAAAATGTTAGAGAATCAAATATAAATGGTTTCTAGCACTTCTTGTTGTTTTATCATAATAACAGCATTGCTGAAGATTTCAAAGTTTTTCAGTTTTCACTTGTTTCAGTGTATGTTCTTGCTTGCACAAACAATGAAGTTACCCTAAAATAGGGCATTTCAATGGAATTATTTCATAGAAAATATCAGTAGATTTGTAGGAACTTTAAGCATGCGTAAACTGAAAGTCACATGCATGTGTCTTTCAACTTTAATCTGTCAAAAAAAAATAAATTAAAATAGTCTCATATTTCCAGTGTGGACGTATTTGAAAGCATGCCACGTGACATCTTTCACCCAATGAAATAATACCTTTTAAATAAAATAAAATTCACACCCATAGTTGTGTGGAGCCTCTTGGGGTCTACTTAAAGGATAGAATTGTCAACACCAAGCAGAATGAGCACTAGAAGTTGTCCATATCATATTGGGGTCACTACTGCCAGGGAATCTTACAAGATTTTCAGTTATTCTCCATCTACTTCTAATGCCAAAATTGAGTTTCTTTTTTTCTATACAACTCATTTTTTATTTCTTTGGAATTCCTGATGCTTCTGTATTTTGGCAATATAGAAATATATCTGAATTTATTTTTTTGACAGATTAAAGTTGAAAGATACATGCACATGAGTTTCAGTTCACCCATATTTAAAGTTTCTACAGACTATTATGCTTTTCATTTTTGTAATATCAAAATGTGTAAGCAAATTAATACTTTAGAATACTTTTAAAAATATATCACACTCAAGAACTGATCCATATATACATATAATATATACATAATTATTTCTAGTGAACTTGAGTTTACCATTAACCAATACCTGGAGGGATTAAGCAAGTGATGTATATTTATCATAAAAAAAAAAACAATCTCTTAGTTTGTTTTTATATTCTCTGTGTAAAAATCTTTCTTCTTTTCACAGGAAGACAATTTAGGCTTATCTGAGACACCTTAGCCTTTTTGTTTTTCAAATTCTTATTTTAAAAAATCATAATTGCCACACAGGAATCACTGATTATATTTTATCTTTTTAGATATACAATACAAAAAGTCTCATTTAAAACTATTAAATTTGAAGAACACCTAAAGAAGAAAGGCTTCACAGTTATTGGTTTGTTAGATTAAACTAGTGCTACAAGAAGTATCTTTGAATGGCAAATATTTAAATGATAAACTGCCAAATTGTAACAATATTATCTGATTATTTTTCCAAAGAAGCTTAAATGTTTGTTTTTTTTTTTGTAATAAATTCTTTTGTTACTATCCTTTTCTATGGTTGTTTTATACCTTCTGCTTCCAAATATTCCATTTAATAGTTTTTCAGACTAATTTTACATTTGCTTTAATCTTTCAGACCTCAATGTTCATAACTGATTTGGGGTGAGATTTTTTAATTAGATTCACTTTAGTTTTATAAATGATATCACTACTGCCTAAAAACAAAGATTGGGTTACCTATTAGAAAAGGAAAGTAGAAACCTGCTACTAGCAAGGTGGGAACCATAATCATTTCAAATAGGTTACTGATGTACAACTTACTATGACTAATTTCTTTATGAATTTCTGGGATGAGAAATTATCATTATTTACATTTGAATTATTGTGCATTGTATGTGAGTAGTGTTCATGAGAACAGTCTTTTTTATGTCAGCAAGTGTAGGATTTCCTCGTTTTTTCTTAATTTGTTTAATAGTATCCATTTTAATAATTCATCATCCTCCAATTATGATTATATATTATTATTATTATTATTATTAAGAAGATAATAGTTGTGTTTAAATGCCACATTTTTGTCCTTTCTATTTCCTGGTCCTTATATTTTGAAAATTTCTCAGATCTTTTTATCAGGTGGGATGGCAATATCTGTGAGGCATTATTATCAATACCCTCATTATTATTATTTTAAAAAAATTATAAATCTGCAACTAGCAATATTTGAATGTTAATCCCTTAAAAGGGACCAGGTATGATAATATAAGTGTTATTTTGCGATAACTTATTGTAACATGCTGCTCAATTACATATATAATTATACATAATATGAGTATGTCTAAATCATACATAGCTGGCCAAACGTATTCAAGGATACCTGCTTACTAGGGCAGCTAGCCAATCCCTATTGCAGACTCTTGTACATTTGCATTTGTTCAACACCCACAGAGCCAACCTGTGATTTATACTACAACTATGCTGAGCAGACCTTAGTTACAGTTTCTGGGAGATAATGTGTTATCTAGCATGATCAACAATCTGAAAATGCCAGCACACTCAAACCCTCAGTCATGATGACTTGTGACTTTGTGCTAGCACAGCTATCGACAGCCTCCAAGCACACTCAAATCCTCGGTCATGATGACTTGTGACTTTGTGCTAGCACAGCTATCGACAGCCTCCAAGTGTTCTGTCTACCCAATTTCACTCACACGGCTTGAGTCAACCTGTGCTATGGTTTTCAGTCACTTTCCAAAGGTGCTGCATGCTGGGATCATCCCCCTCTAAACCGATAAATCAACTGTGGTGAGATTCAAAACCAGATCTCATGGAAAGTGAATGTTCTAACCACTTGGCTATGCACCCACTTAATGTATATATACATTAGTAAAAAAAAAAAGAGTAATAAAAAAAATGTTGGATTATAAATAAATCAATTATATATATATATATATATATATATATATATATAATGAATCAAAATAAGTAAGTAAAAAAGCTATGCTGTCTAGTGAACATATAAGTAAATAAGTAAGTAAAAAAGATATGCTGTCTATGTGGTGAGTATAGATGATATCGAAAATGAGGTTGGAATCAATTCAAGTATCTCAGGATAAAATTATACATACACCTACATACAATGGTGTATTTATTTTTTTAAAGAGCAGTATTGTTTTTATAATGTATTGTAAAGTTATAATGCTACCAATAAAGAATTAGTATTGTTTTCATACAGTATCTATTTGCCTTATTTTCTCTTTATGTGTTTGGTTGAAAAGCAATGCCAGTCTTTTTTTAATTTAAGTTTTCTTTAGTTCAAACTCTTTTTCTGGCTCCTGGGGAAAATTTGAACATAAACTGTTCAATAGCTTCTGAGTGCTTTTGGCTTTCTTAAACCATTACTAAAACAATTTTTAGGGTCATTTGATTTATAGTCATTTTTTATATAGATATGATATCAACACACACAGAATTCTTTGATAGTGGCTTAGAAAAGCCAAGTGTGTTCAGAAGACACTGTACAATATTCTTGTATTATTTCAAACTTTTGTTCTTGCCTTGTTTGATATAGATGTTATTATAGACATAACATTTTGACCAAGTACCCTCTGGTCATCATCAGATGTCCATTGATTGAGATACCTGTTTATTATTTATGATATTATTGTGATAACCAACTTCAATATCCACTATGCTGTCACCTGACAATTGCTCATTTCAGAAATGAAATGCTAAAAGACATTGGACAGTTTAGTTTCATATTTTCCTCAGAAACCAGAAAAATGGTTTGAACAAAAGAAAAATTAAGATATCTTAAGAATTTTCATTGCTCTTCAAACAAATATGCACAAATAAAAATACATAACAAATATCTATGAATAAAAAAAATACAACCACTATATATATATATATATATATGTGTGTGTGTGTGTGAGAGAGAGAATATGGAAGCAAAACCTTTTTAAAATTTAACAGCCACTACATATAATAATCTGAAACCAAAAGCAGAAAAAAAAGTATACCATGGACTGTTAATTAATAAAAGGTAAATGGCAGCAAAGATGACCTGGACCTTAAATCATATATCAGGACACCAAAACCTTTCCTAATGGAGTCTATGAAAGACAAGAGATTGCAAAAGTGCAAAAAGTGCTCTGACACCTCAAGAATCATAAATCCTCTGTTAAAATCTTCAGAGTGGATGCTGTTTTGAAACACCAAAACAGCCTGCACCTCATGAAGTTAACAGCTGATGTGAAGGGTACCTTCATGACCAAATATCCAGCTTCCAAATAAAAATACATGCCTGCATTCTTCGACAAGCTTCCAGAAAATGTAGATGCTAATTCCTATGAGGTTCGATTTGTTTTATCATGGTTTTAAGATCAAATACCCAAAAAACAACTCAACAGCCAAGAATGTACAGAAGTTTTGCAAAGCTAACTTTGTTGATTTCTGGCTTGCAGACTTATGGTCCTCCTCCAGTCCATACTTGAATCCACAAGACTATACAATATGAGGCATTTATGAAATGACCATCAAGAAGACATTCCCACCAACATTAATATCTTCGTGATATTGTTGTGAACTGGGCTAAGATCTCTAACAACTGTGCAGTTAAGAGTTGCACAGTTGTTCAAAGTTGAGTTGTGGATTTAATTGAAAATAATGGAAGCCACATTGAATAAATTATTTGCTTTGATATCTATGAGTTTTATTATTCTCTCACACTCAGTAAGCCCTTGTGTCTTAGTAGCATTATTGCCTTACTTGGGAGTGAAAGATAAAAAAAATCCTCTTGTGTTAATAAGCCTATTTATATATAATGTTTTAAAGGTCAAAATGATTTTGCAAGTTTTGTTTCACCACGATATATATATATATATATATATATATATATATATATATATATATACACACATATATATATATATATATATATATATATTTTTCAATATAATAGATATGCATTTAAAGAGATTTGATACTGTAGAATATACAAAAGTGTTTTTTTTTAATGTTTTAAAAAAATTATAACAGTTGAAATTTCCCATTAGAATCATCTTTTTTATTTTCTGTTGGAACTGCCATTACATTTTTTACTTCAATTATTGTTACATGTAAAAACTCATCAACAAAAACAAAGAATATAAAAAACAAAGACTAAAATCACAAAACAACATTCTGATTTTCACTCAATATTTATGGTATAAACAAACATCACTTCACCTTGATCATTGTGAGGACTAATATTATCATTGTTACTGCTTTCTGTGTTTTCATTGGTGTACACTCTATTCATCTCCAGATATATATATATATATATATATATATATATATATATATATATGTGTGTGTGATCATATTTATATGGTGAATTTGTCACCACAAAAGCAATTTTAGTTTGAAGAAAAAAAGATTGAAAACCTGAATAACATGCATCTGTATACAATACTATATTTTTAGTGGTAAGATATTACCAGTCAAAATCTCATAGTAGATAACACCTTCAAGTCTACCATACTTTACAATGAGATAAAAATAGAAAATGTCAGTTATATGATAAGTTCATTGTGAAGATAAACCTCCTGACATTTGTCTGTTTTGATCTGTTAGTATTTGGTAAGAACTGAATAAAGAGAAGTTTTCATGTTCATTTTTTTTTTAAATATAGAATTTTACTTCTTTTCTTTATTCTTGAACTAATTTAAAAACCTATTGTTTTCTTGTTTAAAGGATTTTGTTTATGGTTATAACATCAAATTTTAAATATATTTGCCTATTTGGTTTGCAACAGTTCTTTACATTTAGAAGGTGCTACCAAAATGTTTTGAGAATTTTGAATGAAATAATGACTTTATCTGTCTCTCAAGTTACCCAGAGTCTTCCATGTCTCACTGGGTATTTACTATATCCCTTAAGATCTCTCAACCAAAAAAATAACCTCATTTTCTATCACTTTGTTTTTCTTTCTTTGAGGAAGCTGTTTGACATGTTATGTTCCCTGAATTTTTGCTTAGCACCTTACACACACACACACACACACACATATATATATATATATAAAGTAAAATGTTAGTTAACCTGTCAGTTTGTAACTGTTTTAAATGGATTTCTTGAAATTGAATAGTTGTGGTTTTTATTTAGTTAGATCATACATCAATTTTTTTTAACATTATGAACAATCATTAATTTTATGTTGACTTTCTACGCTACCTTAAACAAAAGGTTAGGTAGGAAACTCCTATTGATACTAGAAGAAGTGATAACAGTTAATGGACTTGAGAAACCTATTTTGCTGAAAAACTGTTTTAAGAGAAAGATTTTATAACTTTCAACTGACAGGAATGCTGTTTAATTAATTCCTAATGTTTACTTATTAGGAAACGGCTAATCTCACTATTATCATTAAATCATTTTTTCACTTTTACTGCTCAATGTTTTTGTTATCTCTTTATCTACATTAAATATATTGTCATTTTTTTGTAATTGGTCTAGGCTGAAATAAATATACAAAAAAAATGTATGATTGAACTTTATCAATAAGAGAAGAATTGGTTATAACTGGAATTCTATTAGATAACTTCCAATAAAGCATATTACTTTTTATTCTGGTATTGAATCAAAATAAAGTGAAGATGTATAGTATATTGTTTGGATTTAATTTAAGTTTTAACTGATATAATCAAGGAAATGCTACCCCAGAAACAGTTTGTATAATTATTCATATTTAGAATGAATTGTTTAACCTATTGAGACTGGGTTATTCTTTTCACTCATTTTTGCAGAAAGAAAGAAATTTCTCAGAGAATATCTTGTCAGCTGGTTTCACATGGTTAATATAATATATATTTATGAAGTTACAAAAACAAATCAAGAATAAGCATATAAAGAAATCTCTATCAGTTTATTTTTCTCAAATTATTTACAGACATTCGAGGTACCTGAAGATGACTAAAATGCACACCAATTTAAATATTGTTTGTTACAAAAAAAAAAAAGAAAATGAGAAAGAATGCAAACTTGAAGAAATTTATTGCTGCTGCTTTATTGTTTCTGAATTCAAATTTAATTCTTGATTTCATAATTGAAAACATTACCAGAAAAATAGACAGGATTAACTGAGATTGTGTATCAATTGAAGATTGCAAACATTCATTTTGAAGCAAAAGAGTTAACCTACTCATGAAAATTTAAATAATTAGCCTTATTTATTATTTAAAAAAAAAAAACATGAAAATAAGTTTATATCATTTATGCTATTATCAAAAAGGCTTTTGAGGATGATTCTCAAAATGGACTTCTAAATCTTGACTTCACCTTTCACACCTTGCATTCATCATGACCACTACATTCACATTCTTCCAAATTCCAAAATGTCCACTAAAGCAAAATGGCTAACATAGAAATATACAAAAAACAAGCATTTTTTTCCTGTGTGAACGTGAAAATACAGCAGCAAATGGCTTTATTTTGAAGCAACCCACTTGTCATTTCTGGAAGGTTAGTGCATTAGTTAAATAAAGACAACTGTAGCTTTATCTCCAGAATTATCTATCTATCAGTTATGAAAAGGATCAAAGATCTTGGTAGGAGGAGTTGTAGGAAAGAATACTTTCTTTTGCTTTCTAGATTACAGCCCAGCCTTTCTCTCTCGACTGAATCAGCATCTTCTCCACTCCGCACCTATTTACATACCTGGTACCTTATCACTCAGTACAATGTCTCCTTCATTGCGGCAGCATCCACTGTCAGTATGAAAGGACATTGTAGATCTGCAGGTATGATTGTCTGGAGCTTTAACTGCTCTCTTTTCATCTTTGACATCTTTTAGTGCGCCTGCCATCTTTGGGATATTCATCTTTCAATTGAAGAAATTTGGAAAAAAAAGATAAACAAAAAATCATTAAAAAGAATTTTGCTTTTCTGTAAAGAATATAAGAATTCTTGAGTGCTTCTGTGTGTGTGTGTACCAATGTGATAGAATTTATTCACAATGGATTTTGAACTGGATATAAATTCTAGCTTAGATATATTGTAGCCTACTATGTAGCCATGAGAGTCATGTAACTATACTCCTTTAAATTTCTCAGTGTGTGCTCTAAATGACTTAATGTCTCTATAGAATAATTTTCTTCTTAAAATGGCTACCCTTATGACTAGCATTAGCATCCTTTTGTGATGCATGATGGGATTTTTTTGAATAATTTGTTTTTTTTTCTAATCATTTGGTTTTTATACTGTTCTGATCCTATTTCTGTGTTTAATTTTTTTTCCAGCATTAGTATGTTTTTAAGGGAAAATATTTTTGAGCATTGAATTTTGTACAATGATAAAAATAAGGTACACAACCAGAGTCTCTAGCTTAAAGTAACAGTTAATAATTTGAGTGAACTTTGAGATTTATATATATATATATATATATATATATATATATATATAAGGACTGAGCTTCTTTGGTTTGTTACTGGAGATTCTAATTTCTTGTTTTTCATAATAGTGGCTTTATTTGATATTCATCAATGCTCAAAAATAGTTATATTTGTTTGAGTCAAGCATGATCATAATTTGTAATCATTTTTGTTTTTATTGTTGTTGTTAGTTTGGTAATTGTTTTGTTAAAACTGATCATCAACATGCATTTATTTTTAAAGACACAGTTTCTCAACAAAAACAAAGTTTATAGAAATAATAATGATAACTACATTGAAACAAATATAATAGCATGAAATGAAAGAAACACCAGCATTAATATACATTTTAGATATCAACTGGTGAGATGTGGTGACAAATAAAACTGAAATTAATATTATATCACACTAAATTTCCTAGAAGAATTGTAAAAGAAAACTTATGTTTTTGAACATTTGATGTTTCTATGGATCTGTTAATAGCTTACATAAACTTGATATTAAAACATGGTAAAAAAAATGTTAATTAATATGGTGAAAATATTTTTGTAGATTATCTTCCTGAATTTATTGTCATTATGATGAAGTGGCTAAATGGTTTCATATCGCTTGAATAGAACAACTACATATTATAATGTTGTTTGAAATCAATATTTTTGAAAAAATATTTTCCCCTTTTGTAAATGATTTAAATTTCATTTTGAGTTTTAGGAATTAATATGATCAGAAAGGCAAAACTAACAGAATTGCTTGCAATCTCCCCAATGTCAAGAATAGTGTACAAAGAGAGAATTTTAAACCCAATTTGAAACATTTACAGAAAGTCACAAATTTAAAACATTAACCAGGTGTTAAGGAATTCTGGGATGTTTAAAAGTTTGGCTCAGTTCTTTTAGAAATGATATTAGAGAAAATATTCTAAATACCACTAATATTTGCTTTCAAAGAATGAACTTTAATTCCAGAAATAGACTAATGAAAGGACTTAAGCCATGCAGATTGATGGCCAGTTAATAAATAAATATCTGAATTAAGACTACAAATGCTTAAATAAGATGATATGTTGATAGAATGTCATAGTGACTGAGATGGAATAAAGCACAACTTTTGTTAATGAATTCATTGATTAAATTGACTAATGTGAGTGTGAATTTAAGTTCATTTGCTAATTTTAAAAATATTTTATGCATGACTGGATATAGATAATTGAAATCTCAAATTTGGAGTATTTTCATTATTTGATGAAAATTCTCTAAATATATTTAATAAGCTTTAGTTGGTATGTTTTGCAATAATTTTTGATTAGCTTTTGATTCAGTGTGTGTTTAATTTTCTATTAGGGTCGAAAGTGTATGTAAAGTTAGTTTGCTTTTTGTTCATTTTTTTCTTTCATGCCCATACATTAAATTGTGATTAGTTATCTATAATAAAAGATACTGTAGCATTATTTATCCATGTACCATGAAATGACTGAACTTGTGGAAAATAGCTTAATTCAAAATGTTATGTAATGAGTTGGCTAAGGATATCTGATTTGATTTTTTAATTTTGTAGATGTATTATTTGCAGGGAAAATCTTAGTCTTTATATATATTCTAGATAAAATATAGTTTTGTGAATTAAACCACTTTGCAGTTGTTTAATATTCATCTAATCTTTTTTTATGATAAATATAATCAAAGTTTTTAGGAGATTAAAGTTGTGATAATCAAAAATGCCTATTTGAAATAAAATAGAATTTTAATGAAACATTCCTAGAAAAAAACCCTCCAAACTAAATATACGAAAGTGTTTAGTTAAATATCCATTATGAAGATGTTCGAAATTTTATAATTTTGCAAAAGACATTGACTCTTTTCTTTATTCAAGTCAGATTCAAGGTTGGTCTGAGGTGGCCTCCTGGCTGTCAAGTGAAGAATAACATGATCTCCCAGCTGCACCTGGTTTGCTAGCATGGGAATGAGCTACATAACAGATAGATATATAAACATCCACTCCAGCAGGTAAGAGGCAGTCTCTCTCAGACATTGCATTGTAAGGTCTACATCTCAGTTAAAGGGCTCCATGGTTGCACAAACATATGCACACGCTGGCTGATAAAAATTGATGAAATACTGAAGTGAAATAAAATATGAGAGAATAAGTCTTGTGTTCTTGTTTATCAGAAAACTTCATTAAAGTGCAATAGAATGTGGAATTATTGTAGTGGTTGTTGTACCTGTTAGGGTTCCACTATAATGTCTACATTCTGGAAGATGCTTTTTCATTGGACCTTGTTTATTGTCTCTTTTCTGGTTTCATAGAGAGGCATGTTAATATGGCCTAGGTCCTGGATAATGGTATTCAGTCAGTGATGTCATGGTTGGCTTTTGGGATATTTCTACCTAAGTTTTTCAAGTTCAAGTCAAATATGTCCTGTGAGGATAACCAAGCTCCTTCCTTATGAGGGTTTCAAAATATTTCAGCTTTTACTGGGCAATCAGTGCTAAATTGTGGGTCTGTTTGTTTTGATGACAGATGGTGTCATTGCTCACAAACTGTTAATCATTTGGTACCAAGGATTGTCTGCACACTTCATGACAAATACACCAATTCCTTGACTGTTTCATTGAATAGGTTTCAATGCCTTATAAAAGAACTGGAACAACAAGAGATGTCGAAGCACATCTTTCTTTTATTGACATTCTTTTCTGTATTATATGCTGTCACGTTGTCATCTAACAGGATAGTTCATAATTATGATGAAGTCAAGGAGTCTGGATATGTAACATTTCGAACAAGGTGAAATATGAAATTATATTGTGACAATTCTCTTACTTTGCTTGAAAATCAGCATTGTTTTGTTTTTTGCTTGAACCCAAGCACTAACCATTGACACCAGTGTGAAATGCACAACCACTTCACTCATGAAACAGACAACTACCATTATGATTTTTTATGCTTAAAACTGCTTATCCTTTGAAGTTATTATTTATTAAGCTTAGCTTAGTTTGGCACAAGGCCACAAATATAGGACACTTAGTGAAGATCAAACTCAGTATTTGGTAGTAATGGTCAACTAGACTAGCTCACTAACTGTTAGTCCATGTCATGGTGGCTTGCTAATAGTTTAAAGTTGAATCTATCTTCTATTATAATTATTGGCAAATACGTCAACCAATATCTCATAACATGTTCAATATATTCATAAATAGGTAAAAGAAAAAAAGAATGTGATAAACTTAGGATGTACACTGGTTATAAATTTAGACTCAAAGCTAATTCAGTAACTGGTGGAACAGTTTAGGTTAATGCATGGATGTTAAGAGAAACTTACTCCACAAACAATCCTGTAATTTTTCTTAATTTATCAAGGTCAACTGCAGTCAGGATAATAGTCATTATAAACTCCACAATCCTTTCTTTAGTTGCATAATATGTGCTTCACCAAGGCTACATACAATTTTAATTCAGAATTGTCTTTCTCTTAGACTGGTTGCACAACAAGGCTTAAAAGCTCAGTCTGCCCTACTATTTAGACAATATCTTTTCATACCTTTCCCAAGGGTATTTGTGCATAAGTGAATGTAAGAAAACCTGACTGGAATGGGAACCTGGTTGTCTGATTTCTCATTCTGAGCCACTATCCATCATACCACCTGCACACCCAAATCGCTTAATATTAATAATAAAATTTCTTATTTATTTGTCACCACAATAAACTCACAAAAGCAACCATAACTAATGATAGAAATCACAAGAATCAAAAAGAAACGTATTAAAATAAACCAACAAAAAAAAGACATCTATACACAAAGACCATTTTTGTATATTTGCTTTTCTTTCTCTATGGTTGGGATCAATTTTCTTCAAACTTTGCAAATGATTGATGCATTGAGAAAGTTTCCCAAATATAATTTTAGTTTTAAAATGAAAAAAAATTCTTAACAAAGAATTAACCATATTTTTTTATTATTTTAGTGCCATATCTTGTTGGGATGTTTGCAATCACGTCTCTCCACAACTTTCTTTTCTTTCATTTGTGTCAGTTGCTATGGTTTCTTGGGAAAGAGACTGTGAGTAGATCCATTTTCTTCTCCAGTGTTTTAAATTCAGAGTTCTTGTTCTCTTTGACTGTCTGCCTTGCTCTTGGGGTGAAGGGAGGTGGATTCATGCTTTACCCAAAGACATTTGTGCAAAAGTGAATGCAATAGATGAAGCCAGAATTTGAACTCAAGTTGCTGATTTCACTTTTTGCACAAATAACCATTATACTACTCACACATTCACATGCTTAGGAAAGACAAAATCCTGGTATAATAACTTAAGTCTTTGATTGTTTTTTTTTTTTTTGTTCTAATTTAACTCAATTGTTATGCACAAGATTTTTTTAATTTTGCTGCTTCATAGATTCATGGTTCAAGTCAGTCTGAAATTAATTGGGAAAACTTAAACATTGCATGAATAATGGAAAGTTTGTTTTAAATTAACCTGATTTTAATAAAAAAAAAATATCCAAGAGGATACAAACACATGCATACATTCTTACATAGGGATATTTATTATTTTCTGTAATTCTACCATGTAGACAAAATTTCAGTGTAGTAAAAATAAGTCAATATAAGCAAAAGTTCAGAATAAAATCAAATCATCCCACCAGAATTAAAGCTTGTGACTTGCATTTTGTAGAGAAAAAAAAGAACTAATCTGACTTTAGTCAATAAAATACAAAGGAATACAGGCACTTACCTGATGAGCACTTTCAACAGATGGCCGAGGCTTCAAAGATGTTGTTAAAGCTGCTTGCTTAAAACTCGACCCTTCTCCACTTTGCCCAACTCTCTGGGCAGCCCGTGGTGTTGCATTCGGGTCTGTTGATACAGCCACACGAACATCAGGCCAAGATGTTGCATAGTAAGAAGAGCTTATCAAATGTCGCTGTTCACTCACAAATCTTGGAGATGGATTGGTTTCTTCTCTCTGAGAAACATTCATTTGATAACAATATCGGAGGATGCATATTGACATAGAGGCTGTTATGATGATGGATACCGTTACAGCACCCAACACAATGATCACTGCTGAGTTAAGATGTACTTTGTCATCGGCTCGGATATGAATTGAATTTGGTAGTTCCCATGTCTTGTTGCTCACGGTCAGTGTCAAAAAAATAGTGGTGGTTGCTGACCGGACGGGATTACCACTATCTTTGGCAGTAAACTCAAGTTTAAACAATCCAGCATCTCGCTGAGTAAGAACACGGGTAAAAATTAATAACCCTGTGTAATGGTTGATGGCAAATAATTGTTTGTCATTGCCTCTTGTTATTTCATATTTAAGGAAAGCATTCTCTCGGCTATCACTGTCAGACGCTTTTATTTGAGTGATGTTCTTGGTGTGATGAGGGTAATAGACAACGTCCAAAGTGAAAGGGTTGATATTGGGAAATGTAAAATATGGAGCATTGTCATTTTCATCTCTGACCTCAACAATAATGTTCACTGTGTTATTCAATGAAGGAATTCCGCTATCCCGGACAAAAACTTGAAACCTATAAACATTCTGAAATTCATAATCTAAAGATAGAACAGTTGTGATTATTCCAACATTATTTATCTGGAAAGGCAAGAACTGTTTGTTGTTGGTCAATAGGGAATAGGTCAATTTTCCCCCAGGTCCAAGGTCAGGATCAGTGGCATTGATGGTGCCTACATGTATTTTTGATTTCTGGTTCTCATAGATCCAGAATTTAAATGTTTCTTTGGAAAATCGAGGCTGTACATCATTCACATCAGTTACTTGAATGTAAAACTTGCTTTTACTATACAAAGGTGGAGTTCCCTTGTCTTGGCAACTGATGATAACATCATAATGATCATCAACCTCTCGATTTAAAGGGTTTTTTACTGTAACTTTGAATTTCTTGGGGCCGAGACTATGAAGCTGAAATTTATCATGCCGCAAATCGCAACTGACCTCTCCATTCTGTCCAGCATCATGGTCAGTGACCTTTACATAAGCAATGAAGCTTCCGAGCTTTATGTCCTCAGAGATATCAACTGTGTTGTCCATTGATGCAGAGACAAAGTTCACATCTATGTTTGGGGGGTTATTTTGTTGGTTGATTATATTTACCTGGACCATTGCAATTGAGCTGAGAGGAGGGTTGCCTCCATCAGTGGCCTTCACATACAACTCACTTTTTAAGTCCTGGACCATGGTAAATTTTTTGTTCAGGAATATTTGTCCTGTTATTTCATTCAGCTCAAAGTGGATTTTATCACTGTCAGACGTCTGAAAGCTAAAATGGTATGTAATTCTTCCATTCATTCCAGAATCCAGATCTGTGGCTGAGACAATAGCAATGGGTGATGTCTCACTTGGTTCATTTCTGATAGAAACATTATAGATTTTTTGGGAGAACACTGGTGAGTTATCATTGACATCTGTGACAGCAATATGGACGTCTAAAACACTTTGTCTTGGGGGAGAACCCTCGTCTTTAGCAATAATCTGGATAATATACGAGTCTTTCACTTCACGGTCAAGTTTATCTTCTAATGTTATACTCAGATCAGATGATCCGCCAACATTCTGCGACACAAACAATGTGAATGGCTCATCTAGATTTTTTTTAAGACGGTAAGTAATCTGGGAATTAATCAAGCCCACATCTCTGTCAATAGCACTGGGGATAGATTTTTTGGTGCCTTTGCTATCATTTTCTTCGAATTGTATTTCCACTATCTTGTCAGGGAATTCAGGCTGGTGGTCATTAATGTCTTGTATTATTATTTTGATCTCCAAGATCTTCATGAACATTTTTGCTCTTCGCACTGCAACTTCCACCATTCGAAAACATTCTTTATTATGCTTGCACAAAGACTCAGCATCTAGTGTCTGGGCTGTGTAGAGCTTTCCTGTCTTTTTGGAGACACGGAACAGTTTGGAGGTGCTTGTCACCCTCACTTGCAACTGACTGAAAGTGATGAGGCTCTGTTCTGGATTCAGAAAATTGTCCATCAAGTGTGTGTCAGCAGCAATATCCCCAACCAGGGTGCCTGGGGTCTTGCCTTCCTTTACATAATAAGTAATGTCGACGGCCAGACATCTGTGCAGGACAGAGAGGAGGACACAGCCGGGTATCAACATGTTCTAATTGGATCCGTAGAAGTAAATAAATATAAAGCCCATCTAATCCAAATACTGAATCTCCATCTGAAAAACAATAACTTAATCATGAATAGAAGTTCTCAAAGATGTTTATATATAGACACCTATATTTATGCACAAGTTCATACATATGTATTTTCTATGGATGCTAAATTGTGTAATGTGTCTCTGGATATGTGTTTTTACAATATGTACATAAATATGCATATGTGTATGCACACACATATACATACATACATACATACATATATATATATATAAAAACATGCATCCACATAATTATTTGTATATGTTTGTGTCTTGAATATTTGCATAAGAGAATGTGTAATCAATATGTTATTGTCTTTCTTTTAAAAAGGATTATAAATTATTTTCAATTATTTAAAGATTAAAGATATTTTTCATTGATCAAC